TGGGGCGGGGACTGGCTGCCTCAAAGCCAGATGCACATTTTCAGACACAACACGTGACTCAAGCAGATTAATTTACCTGGTTCTATAGCAAAGAGGTCAAAACTGCGCCACATACCATAAACTTACATGTATTGTTTGTTTCGGTACTTAGATTCTGTATAAATATTTTGGGCCACTATACAGTTTTCAGTCTTTTCTTTCAGTAGTTTTTTTCCTAATTATTCTGTACCATTTAAAAACCTCTTTCTATAAAATAGAACAGTGGTCTTCATAAACTTCTAGCATATTTTCCCCTACATAATACCTCTGTGCTTGCAAAGGTACTTTGCTAAAAGTTACTAAAATATATATGATATCCTTTATGTGCTTGAATAACACTTTTTAGGTTGACAGACCTGTGAAGGCTCCGCTGAGATGAAATGGAATTAAATAAAAGGGTTTTTCGAGAAGCGCAGCACCTGAGCCTCTGCAGGCGCACGCTGCCTCGTCCTCATGGGCGCAAGCGTGTTTTCTCGCCCAGGGTCTTCCCCACCATTTCGGCTGCATCTCTGCTGCCGAGTGGCAGCACCAGCAGTGGCGCCCACAGACACTCAGATCCCTGCTTGGGGGTTCCCAGAAGGCAAGGCTTCGCTTAAAGCACTGTCTTGTGTTCAGGCACTTGTGACTCTGCACTGCGCCGTCCCCACCGCCCCTCCACCGGGGGCCAGCCTGGTCTTCCGAACCCGGGAACAGCGTCTGCGCTCCAGCTGGTGCCCAAGCATCAGAGATGTTATTCTGTCATCACTGGGGAATTCTTGCTCAGGTTACTCTTTCCTTCTCAGCAGTCGAATATGAACAGTGTCACGTGGATGTCTTTGGAGACCTGGTGAGGGCTGGGAACCTGTTCCTCATCATGTGTTGCTGGTTGAAGATCCAAAACAGTGGCTTGATGTGGAGGTTTGCGTCCTGCTTGTGGAGAGAGGCCCCAAGGCCGGCACTGGAGGCTGGCGGGGTGGCTTTCTTAGTATGAGGGTCTCTGGGTCCTTTCGACTTTTTGTCGCCTCTCTTACTTAGCGGTCTACCATCCTCAAGGTTACCACAAGGTCATGAATAGCTACTGAAAGTCCAACCATCTGCACCAAGGTTTTGGCCTTAGAAGGGAGAAAGAGGCAAGGGGGAATGAGCATGCTCCGCCTACTATTCCATTTCTCTGGAAGCTGCATTCAGCATTTTTTAGCTCTGCACATGGGCCAGTTCTGTTTGTAAGGAAGGCTGGGGGCTGTAGTCGTAAACCTGCGGCACTGCCGTTCCCGATGGTAGGGGTTTGGCTGCCGAGGAGCAGCAAGTGTGTTTGCAGAGGCAGCCGTCAGTCTCTGCCTCGCCTTCTGGTCTGTGTCCGTGTGACACCTGTTCACTGGATCACGCTCTGGGGTTCGTTTCCTGCTTACGTGTCCTGTACGGACTGCGTAGAGGAAGTATTCATAGGGGTTTTTTTGAGGCTCTGTACAATGTATGAGTTGGCACACAAGGTCTCAGCCCTGAGAGATGCTGTGGCCCCTTGTCCAACAGAATGTTGTGCTGCCCGCTGAAATGGAATGCATGGGCGATTATCTTTCCACAAAGCTCGTATATGTTCATATGTGTGTACATATATGTAACATACACGCTACAGTGTAAATTAGAGACAGAAGAAAGGTGACATGATAAAATGTGTTTTGGTCTATAATGTTTTAGTCTATAAAAGTATTTGCACAACGGAAGAGGGAAAAACAGATACTCGGGCGCTGGGCATGTATATAAAACCGTTGTGAGTGAGGCAACCGCATGTGCAGACTGGACGTGAGTTATTTGTTGTCTCAGAAACCGAGACTGGTATTATCATGCTGATATCTTGAAGTCGGAAACAAGTCTTGTGAAGCTCCAGAGAGAACCAAGCACTGCCTGCTTGGTGAACGGTAAATGTGTTCCCAGAAAAAATCAGTGTGCATAGCGTAGGTAAGAAAAAGAAAAACAAAGAACTTCATATTTATATGTTAGATAGATAGTGCTTAGCTCAGGTAATTGCCAAAAGCAAGGCACTCTTGCCCTGGCTGGTGTAGCTCAGTGGATTGCGCACGGGCCTGTGCGGCAAAGGGTCGCCAGTTCGATTCCCAGTCAGGGCACGTGCCTGGGTTGCAGGCCAGGTCCCCAGTAGGGGACACATGAGAGGCAGCCACACATGGATGTTTTTCTCCCACTCTTTCTCCTTCTCTTCCCCTCTAAAAATAAATAAATAAAATATATTTTTTAAAAAAGCCAGGCACTCTTCATCATTTTCAAGTAGTATCCTGCCTCTCTGAATCCATCACAGTAATTCCATGCCCCACCCCCCGAATTGCTCACTGTGCCCCCTCTTTTTCCAGCCGCCTTGTCAGAAATGCCCATGCAAATTCCAGTGACTTCTGGGTGTCCCTGCTTTAGAAGACTTAGGTTTCCAGTGTTTCGTTTTTTACACGTGCCTGGCCCCAACTCACTGGTGCATTTGGTTCTTTTCTTTGGCTCCTGTCTTTGGCTATGTCAGCTTGGCTCGTTTCCACTTCAGTTTTGCCATTTTGATGTATTAGATCAGTTTTAATCTTTGAAGAGCAGCCTTCATAAGCAACGGGCAGCACCTCCAACAAAGATCTCAGGGTCGGGTGGGGGGTGGGGAAAAACTGTTACATTCCAGAATGACAGTGTTGTAAAAGGATTAAAGGAAGAGATTAGGAAATTCCTCAGGCTTCTCGCTGGCCTCCCTCTGGTTGCTAGAGGCTTCCTGTGTCCCTGTCCCATTCACCCCTCCCTCGCCCCTTTCTGCCCCTCTCCATGCAGAGGGTTTACCACTGGGTCCTGTCTGTGTTCATGTGCAGAGCCCCTGCGTGCTCCGCCCTTCGGTGGGACCCCAGGAGGGTTGCAGATTCGAGAGCAGCTCCGAGGCCTGTGGGGGAGGCCTTGCTGTAAGGAGCCCCCCCCCAACCACGTAGCCCAGTTACTTGATGTGTCCGTTTTATTATCTGGTCGGACATGGTTTTCCTGCCACATCCGTCTTCATCATTCCTAAATCTTAAGACTCTCTTAAAAATGAAAAATACATAATGCTTTTCATTCCATATTCCATCCTCATCTTTTCTTTAGTTAGTCTGAGTGCTGTTCATTAATTGTATTTTGATAGTCAACTGCCATAATAATAGCACTGAAGTCTTTTTCAAAAGCTGGCATTTTAATTAACATTACTTTTTAAAGTCGATGGGCCAAATAAAGTGGCACCTTAAAATTTTCTTTTTGTTTTGTGAAGTAAAATAGCTGTCCAACCACGTCAGAAAGTTTACATATGTATTCCTTGCTTGGTGTTAAGTGACTATGTTACCGAACAAGAGGAGGAGGTCCGAGGGAGGGGCAATACAATATTTGGCCCACCTAGGGATGCCCAAAACTGCTGTACAACAGGGGCCCCTCCCAAAAACCAAAATACTAAAATCTACTGGGCCCTTCTGTCCGCCGCCAATTGGAAACACATCTCTTAATGCCAGAGATTTGTGAAAAGGAAACAAAATGTTTATTTAATGCTATTCAGGCCTAACGCCACTACTAAAATATCAAAGTCCTTTAGGGTATACACCTACACCCACACAGCGCTCCCTTCCCTCTTGTCCCAACTCCGGGTACCGTAAATCAGGAAAAGAGCACACGTCTGTGTTGCAGGCCGCTGGCACCGTCAGCTGTGTCACTGTGCAGGATCTCGAGTTAATCCAAAGTACTGTGGTACCCTCTCATGGTCCACTGGCAAGAGTCCTTTGTATCCAGTTCCAGTCAAAATCTCTGTTGCTTTTCAGGCCCCGCGGCCAAAGGGGGCACCCCAAAGCCGAGTGGGCCTCTTCTACCAAAGCTGCAGGGGTCCGCACTCCACCAAAAGCATGTGGCTTTCTTCTTCACCTGGCTGCAGGGATCTCCATTCTGGCCAAACTGCGTGGTTTTTCCCTTTCACCTGGGAAAGGGGGGGTCCACACTCCGCCAAAACCACGTGGCTCCCTCTTTCACCCCACCAACAGGGGGTCCTCACTCTGCTGAAACCGCGTGGCTCTCTCTCCATCTGGCCAAGCGGGGACCCTTCATGTCTCGGAGCCAGTCTTTTCCAAGCTCCCACCCAGGCCATCTCGCTCAGGAGCGCAGCCCCTAGTTACATTCTGAGTCCAAGCCCTTCTCACTCCGGAGAGCAACCCTTAGCTACATCCTGAGTCTCTGCTAGTTCCATCTTTCTTCTCCCTTCTGCTCCAAACTTGGCCACTGCTATTTAACATATCTATGAAACTAGTTAAAGGTTATAGATATGTTAAATAACCATTCCTCCGGAGGTTAGCTCCAAAACTGTTGCTATGCAAAATAGCTCTCAATGGCCTGGCTCCATTCATCCCTTCCCCCTGGGGGGGGGCGGTGAGGACATCTTATAAGTCTCTCCAATATTTCTATACACTTTGAATTCTGGACACTTTTCTAAATCTTTTTGGGGGCCCCCCTGTCTGCACCCTGTATCAACTATTTTTTGAAAATGAGGTTTCAAGATTCAACGTTAAGATTTTACTCCACTGTGATTGTTTTATTTTTCCTAACAATATCTCAAGGGGAAAGTATTACTTTTAAACTTTAGTTTGAGGATACTGCAGCAGTGCCACTCATCCACTAACTATGTCACTTAAGGCGATACGCTGTTTATTCACTGAGAGTAGCGTCTGCTACAGTGTTGATGATCATGAGCGTTCCTTTCACTCAGTGTTTCACCACCCGTGGTTTTGTGGGGTCATTGGATCGCTGGTGGATTTGTTCTGAGTATATCTTTTTGTTCTTTACAAAATATGCCATTGAATAACAGTATGACTTGCGTTTGTGTGTGGGTGTGTGCACACACGTGCACGCACATCCAAGGACGGAGCCTGCAGCGTGACCCGGGTGGAGCCGCCGATCTTGAGGAACCGCTCGTTTTTAATGACGTGTCTGTTCTGCGGCAGGTGAGCCAGGACGGGAAGTCGCTCCTGGACAAGCTGCAGCGGCCCTTGACCCCCGGCAGCTCCGACTCCCTGACAGCCTCTGCCAACTACTCCAAGGCCGTGCACCACGTCCTCGATGTCATCCACGAGGTGCTGCACCACCAGCGGCAGCTGGAGAACATCTGGCAGCACCGCAAGGTGCGGCTCCACCAGAGGCTGCAGCTGTGTGTGTTCCAGCAGGATGTCCAGCAGGTCAGTCCCGAGCCCCGCTGCTCCCCTAGGAAACGAGTGGGCAGAAACGAGAGTGTGAGGGAGTGGGTCTCACGCCGGGCTTGTCTGTGCTGATGGAGTGAGTGGGAGATAATGATGGGAGAACACAAAATGCACAGTAACACACACGCAGCTCCTGAGGGTGCCTGCTCGGGCTGTTTTTAGCCACTGATTACCTCGTATGCACGAAACACGTGAGATGGTGCTGGACCTTAATGGGGGGGTTCTGAGTTTTGTTCTTGAGACAGATCATTCATAGTTATATTTATTTATAAGAATAATGCAGTGATGCTTGTACCACAGTGCTATTACAATGTAAGGTCTGTCTGCTCTTCCATTATTTCAACTATAAGCCAATTAATTGTGTTTCTGTTCTCACCTGGTAGTCTGTAGGGCACAGTAGGTGCTTAATAAATAGCTGTTTAATTAATGAAGAGTGGCCTTTCATGACTCTTCATTTCTAAGCAGTTAACATCCCCTTGTTATTGTTGTTATAAAAAACAGGAAGAAGCCAAGTCCCCTTGCTGTTCGTTTCCTTAGTGGGGATGGAATAGGCAATGCTGTCCCACTACCAGCGCTTTGAGGATGAAAACTGGGGCAACATATAAAATACAACTTCGCTTTAGTGATAAATAAGACAATAGTTGTGTCCTTGCTCTGAAATAGAGGGGGGGAAAGGGTGTGAATGAGGTGTCGACTCTGGGGATGAGGAATCCCAGGGGGTGCAGGGGAGCTCGGCGTGCAGGGGAGTTGGCTGGAAGCCACAGTGATAGACACAGCGCTCTTCCCGAGCCGAGAGCCTGGGCGCCGTGTTCAGACACGTAGGAGCTCAGATTTCACTCTCCCCGAGTATCATCCGAAGGTGAGAAGGTTTTCTGCTGAGTGGGCTGAGGTTGTGGAAAGTCATGCTGTGTTCTGATAAACACATATTCTCCACATTATTCATCACGCTTCTCTGCGCAATGGGAACCTGGTGAGTTCACAGTTCTACTTGTGCCATAATTTTTAATTTTCACATACTATGCTTTGATTTACTTACCGTTTTTGAGTTCTCTGAAGGTTGCATATACAGAGTGCCTCAGGAATCATGGGTTTGATGTGATTCATGCTTCTTGACAATGTTGTTTTAGTCCAAGAAGATAATTGCTGGGGAGAGAATACAGAGTGAGGAGTGAGGGGGAGGAGTCCAGGTCTAGGAGTTACTCTGCGAACTGAATGGTAAGGTTGGAAACATGAGTACTAGTTTTTCTTAATTGTCCAAAAACTTTCACCAGCCATGAAATGCGACTATTAGAGGGCTTTCCCGCCCGCCTGTCTGGCTGTTGCATCAAGTGTTCGTTCCACAACTGTGGACCAACACACTTGTAGATTGTGTCTGCAGCGGCACCAGGGTGTCCCCTCCTTTCTGACCCTCACTGCCCATGGCTTTTGGGGGCCCAGTCATGGAAGAATAAGCCACTGGCCTGTTTCTGTCAGGGGGAGGCATGAGGGAAAGGCAGCCTGTGGGAATGGGCTGAGGAGTCTAGTTTAATTTGGCACCAAGTACTTAATGCACTTGAATTTGAACACAGCAAATATTCATTGTTATATTAGAAAGGTAGTTGTGACAATAATGAGGCCAGTTCTTTCAGCTAGCTTTTCTCCTTAAGAACGGTTGGGTGGGTGGGTGTCAGCAGGAGAAAGTGTTCTGCAGAACCCAGAATGCTTAACCCTCCGCAGGCAACTGGTAGGTGCTCTAGAGGGAAAGGTTTTCTTGATTAAATCATCGGGAATGGTTAGGACTTGTTATGCGCACAGGAAACTGCTATGCGAGCTTGACTTGGGAAGTCAGGAGCTAAGTTGCAAGATGAAGCAAAGTCTTTTTCCTTGAAGGAGTGCACAGGATGTCAGAACCAAAATTGTGTTTTTGAAACTCAAGAATTTACAGCATGTGGAATTTTTTGCCATATCGAGCAGGAGGAGGAGAGGTAAGCTGAGAATAAGTGAAAAAAAAAAAGAAACTGTAGTACTTCAGAAAGACGCTGTCAACAGAAATAAATTTGCAAAGATAAAAACAATCAAAATCCACAGAAACATCATAAGCCAACTGGAGATGCCACAGGTTTCTGTCTGGTTGTTTTGGCTGAGGAGGAAGCATCTGTACGTGCTGCTGAGGAAAAAAAGCAGGAGCTTAGCACACAGTGGGTGAGGAATGACGGCACTTCGGTGAAAACAAGCCTCCTACTAGAGTGTACGCACGTGTCTGGAAAACACGCCTGGGCGACTGGGTGCTAGAGAGACTGCCCGCAGCTCAGCAGGAAGGGGACGGTGGGGACGTGGCAGGGGCATTTGGTTTTTAAAACCTGAGTGATTTTATCTTGGTGGTTAATTAATTTTTTTTCATAACAAGCAAAGGCAATTTTGTAATTTCTTTATGGAAGGTGTTTGGGATGAGAGTCAGGTGCTGTGAAGGGGGCAGGTGCGGTGGGGGCAGGCGAAGCCGCTTTACATAACACTTAGCGCTTGTCCATATCAAAGGGTGGGGTGGCGGGTGGGAAGACTGGCCGCAGACTTGCTACGCTCACATGCTACCTACTAACCGATATTCAGCATTAACCATCATTGAGAAGTAAAGTCAGTAATCTTTGGGCCACATTTCCTGATGGTGAAATAGCATGCATCCCTAATGCCTTCTGTTGGTTGTTAGAGCAGCACTCGGTGGATGTTTGGTTGAATTCATGAGTGGCCAGGTACCTGCTATGCAGTGTTTTTCAGTTTAGAGTATGCTTTAGTGTACTGTAGCAGGGTAATTTGTTTTTGTGGTATTCAAATGGGGTGATAGTTGGGAAGCAGGGTTCTTTCAAACCTGCCTTTTGACTCACCACTTCAGCCTGCCTGCCTCTTGGATGGGTGGGATCTAGTTACTCCAACTCGCAGGTGAGGTGACTTGCCCCTTGCAGGCTGGCTCCCCCAAAAAAGCCTCTCAGAAAGGCAGACCCTTCCCTAAAAGGACTTCTGGCTTCCCCCACCAGCACTTCTTGTGTGGTAGTGTCACCTCCGATGAAGTGTCTCTTAAAGAACTTTCTCCAGGTTCATGTTGGGCCATTAGCTAAGATTGTGAAAAGATAGTCAAACAGACCCGGTCCACACTACATTCTTCTCATCCACACTTCTTTTTTCCCCCCCTCAAAATATATTAATTGAATGTGTCACATTGTGAGAGGTGCAGAAGTAAATATGTCGAACATCTCAAAGTTCCTCTTCTCAAGGAGTTGTAATCAAGGAGTCGATGGTCTAATGGTCCAGTAAAGTAGACCATAACACGCTCGGATCTGGCACTTAGGTATCAGGTTTGAGTCTCAACGCCCACCAGGGTGTTACCCAGAGTGAGAGTGTAAATGAAACTGGCTACCCTCATCTCTTACCCGCCTGTCTTGCGCATGTGCTCTAGGGGGACAGATCTATGAGTGAGGGGCTTGTACGAATTCAGGCGTTCCTGAGAGTTTTGTCTGTATTCTTCTCAATCATCAGGGGCCTAGTAAACAAGAAAAATGATGAATCCTGTAATAGAGTTGCAGGCGGCAGTTGTTGGATACCAGGAAAGGCTTCATGAGAGCTGGTCTTTGAAGGATGGGTAGAAGGTCAGTAAGTTGAGGAATGGGCAACAGGAATTGCAAAGAGAGCAGAGACGGGAAAGGGCAGGGCCTAGTCAAAGTGCATCAGGTGGCCTTGTGTGGGGAGGTGGGGAGGCACGAGCTGGGGCTGCTGCAGGAGAGGTGACCTCCGTGATGAACAGTTGGGACTTACTGCTGTAAGACTTAGGACATCACTGCAGGGACACAGCAAACCTTGACTGAGGGCTGTGAATTGGTGCCAGGGCCTGGAGTGCCTAATACGTGGCTGTGAGGGAACCTCTGTATGACACCTCGTACATCTTGGTGCTTTGTGAGTGCTCACTGACCTGTAGGTGTCCGTCCTCTCTTAATGCTCACTTGAGACTCGCAGCCAGCTCACTCCGCTAAAGAGAGTGCGCTTCCCATTTCACCACCTTGGTTCACACTGTGAAGGGCCTGTAGGCAGAGCATTTTGACTTGATGCTGTGGGCAGTGGGGGGTGGATGACATGATGCTACTTGCCTTAGCGAGGTTGCTCTGGTTGTGGTGTGATGAGCCAGACTCTATGTAAGGAGACAGGTGAAGTTCCCGATGTGGGCGTCCATGCCAGCCATGGAGAAATCTTAGCAGAAACGGAAGGTTCTCAGGAGTAGTGATCTGTTCTGCTTTTTTATTTCCTGGTGTTTCCCAAGTGCCTGGGATAGACTAGATGCTCAGTATTTGGTGAGTGAGTTAATGAGTAAATGAAGGAATTGAAGGAATTCCCCAATTTTGCTAAAAGACTCTTCTGGGCTAAAATTATTCTGGAATGGGGGGCGGAGTGGTTGGCCTTATTGGAATCAAGTGATCCAACTGGGGGATCTGTCTACAGAAAGAAGCAGGAGCTTTGATTGATGTTGGGAAGTTAGGGACTTAGGAAGGGAAGGGATAATTCTCAGTGTGTAGGAGTTCTGCAAGCGTCATGAGATCTTTAAAACATTAAACATTTTGCCACTTGAATGCAAAATGAGGGTCTTAACTGCCTACTAGCAGTGAGAGGGAAGTCAGGATATACCAAAGAGGCAAAGAAATGCTCTTCTGGTCTACAGAGAAATGATTTCACGGGCTTACCTGGGTCCTAGGCTGCTGTCCTTTGCCAATAAAAACCATTTCCCTGTGGTGGCTGACTCAGAGGCTCAGTCTAGGTGGCACCACAGACACTGGGCCTAGGTCCTTAAGCGAAGGTTCCTGAACCTCATGTTTCCTTTGCTCATACAGTCACGTAGGTAGGTTTTTCTCATCCTACTCACCAGACTCATTATACAGCCCCAGCTATTTAACATTCTTTTCTGTTCACATTCCCATGGTCACAGTTCCAACTGTGGCTCTTCGTAAGGATGGTTTAGACTC